AAATACTGTTGAATGATGATGCACGGAGGAGATTGTAATCATTGCAATGAAACTGATATTCTCCCATATAAACGATCACTCAGTTCACAATAAAAACTTACAACAACAAAAAAAAAAGACTGCAGCTAGAAATTCAAGCCAGATTCAGAAGAGCATATGGAATGAGGGTTATCATTGCTAATGTCAAATGGATCTTGGATGAATGTAGTGAATACCAGAAAGATGTTTGTTTATTCGTGCTTTATTGACAATATAAAGGCATTAGACTTTGTGGGTCACGATAAACTCTGGATAGAATTGTGAAAAATAGGAATCTTAGAGTGCTCCAGTGTGCTCATGAGGAATCCTACCAAGATGTCTATCCTTTCCTAAATTACTTCACTACCCGTCACATAAACTCACTGCCCCCCTTCCCCCTGCTCCCTCCCACCCGCTTCACCACTGTTAAGTGTTGGTTTCTATATATCTGCTTGTCTCATCTAAATGATATCAGACCGTCTCTGTCCTTTTGCAGCTGGTGGTGTGCATGAGAACTTTATTTGTATTTCAATGTCTACGCGTATGAAGGCATATGCTTCCCACAGGTCGCTGACCAGCCCCTTTTCTGAGCATTGGAGTCCTGGTGTGGCACTGTAGAATAAACACTGGACAGCTCATCGCAATACTGGTGGTTCAAACCCACCAGCTGCTCCTTGGAAGCCCTACACAGGGTGGCTGTGAGTCGGAACCAGTTCGACGGGACTTAACAACAGTAGAACCGTTATGAGTCAGAACCGACTCCATGGCTCCGGGTTTTGGAGGCTCCCAGTGATGGATCCAGGCCTTGGAGAGAGTCAGATAAGAACAAAAGCCAGTTCTGCCCAGCACACAGCCATGGGACTGATCCCCTAGAGTCAGCCTCAGTGCAGCGTCCCAGTCCCAGAGGACTTCAGGGAGAAGTTAGGAATTCCTGAGACCCCACCCCACTTTGACTATAACATTGCTTTGTAGTTATTGTTCTGTTATTTCCTGAGGTGGCTGACGGCCAAGAAAAAACATCCAGGACAAATGCAAACCAGCAAAATGCAGGCGTGTTTTTATTAAGCATTTCACGTTTGTGATTTTAAAGACAAGAATTCTAGATGATTCGAACTACAAGTCTCTTTGGGAGCATTCCCCAGACCCCACAGGGTTTTTGTTGTTGTCAGGTGCC